CCAATCTATAAATTCCTCTTCAGACTCACAAAACACATGCAATGATGCTGAATGCAGGAAAATCACAGGCCAGTGGGTGGAAGGTCTTGTGGATCCAGTGGTAGTAGTGGCATCTCAGCACTGGCAGGGGTCTCCACGTGGTTCCTTCAGCTCTGAGGCTCTGACTGCTATCAGCCTGTCTCCACGAGGTTTGTCAACAAGAATGTCTCTCTGGGAGTGAACAGAGAGAGAGAGTGCCTCTCTGAAGACACTCTCAGAATACCGGAGTTCCCAGAATCCCCAGGAGACGGCCATGCTCACACAGAGGCCTCATTGGTTATGGCTTGATTGACAGGCTAGACTCTACCCCTTCATTTTGAACCCTCAAATTGCCACCAGATTATGTAACTACCACAGCAAGAGATTTAAACCCTAATCCAATGTCCACCAGTTTTGTTCCTTTGGGCTAGTTGTCATCTGCTGTTTCTCATACTTAGGAGTTTCAGACTCAAGTCCAATGGCTCTACCTTTTCTTTTCATTCCATTTCCTCTTTTTCAAAGCCTTTAAAGTGAAATGACATTAATTTTGGGCTACTAACTGCAGGGTCATCAGTTTGAAGTCATCAGCCACTCCACGGGGAAAAGATGAGGCTTTTTACTCCCTTAGTAAAGAGTTATGCTCTTGGAAACCCAGAGTCACTTCTACCCTATCCAAACTATCCAGCGAGTTTGGGATGTAGTTAGGTATTTCTATGAACCAACCACAAGGTGGCACAAGAGCCCCATAAACGTCGCTTGCTCCAAGCTTCAACCATTTCTAGCCTCTTGTTACTATGTTACTGAAGATAAAAAACAATAACGGAAACAAAAAACTGTTGTAATAGTACATGAACGAGAAAGTGCCAGAATTCCAAATTGGATTCACAAGAGGATACGGAACAAGGGACATCATTGCTGATATCAAATGAATCTTGGCCGAATGCAGAGAATACCACACGAGAAAGAACTGTTCGATCATTGACACAATCAGTTTTGGAATATTTTCTTCATTCTTGTATCCATGGTTATTAGCATCTTTTATCCCCTCAGCTGCCCCTTGGTTTTTTTCATCTAGTTGTCTCTACAGACAAGACTTTCTGCTCCCATAAAGAGTGACCGTCTTGGGAACTCAAAGGGACAGCTCTGTCTTGTTCTATGGGATCACCACGAGTCCACAGCGGCTCAGTGGCAGAGACTTTGGTTTGGAGTTTGGAGTTCATGTAGAAAATGATACGATAAGGAGAAAAAGAAACAGCAACAACAATCAAACAAAACAAACAAAACACAGAAGACCTCATTCCAAAAGAAAGGAGAAAGTTATAAAAACTAGGACAAGTTAAAAATGGGTGAAGAGGGGAAACAAATAGTAAGATGTTAGATTTAAGCCAAACTGTATCTGCAGTCATCTACTTTCCATCCGCCCTGTATGTGGGTAACCTGTTCCTATCTCTGTTCAGTGCCCACCTATGTCTTAACTGACTATGCAAAGGCATTCTTTGTGTGGATCATAATAAATTATGGATAATATTCTGAAATATGGCCATTCCAGAACTCCCACTTATGCTCATGTGGAGTCTGCATGTAGACCAAGAGCAATTGCTTGCATAGAACAAGGGGTACTTACTGTGAGGTTTAAAATAGGAAACATTTTGACAGGGTTGTATCCTTTCCCCATACTTCTTTACTCAGTATGCTGAGACAATAATCCTAGAAGCTGTACTATATGAAGAAGCATTGGATTTGAGGAAGATGAATTTGCAACTTGCTGTATGTAGGTGAGGAGGGCCCTTGTGGCATGTGCAGTGGTTACGTCTTAGGCTTCAAGCGTCAATCCAAAAGGTCCACAGTGCTAAACAGCCAGCCCCTCGCTCCCCAGAAGAAAGACTGAGCTTTCTACTCCTGTCAAGTTCCAGTCTCAGGAACTCACAGCAGCAGTTTCAATCTGTGCTATAGGGCACTGTCAGTCGGGTTGACTCCCTGGCATAAGGGTTGCTTTCTTGGGTATGTGCATGAAGAAGCTCTGGTGGTGCTGCTGGTAAGCTCTGGCTGCTTACTGCAAAGTCTGTTGTTCAAACCCAATAGCTGCTTGGTAGGCAAAAGATGAGGCTTTCTACTCCAGGAAAGATGTACAGCCTTAGAAACCCCAAGGGTCATGTGTTAGTCTGGGTACTTTAGAGAAACAAATCCTCAGAAACTCATGTATAAGAGAGAATTTTATATAAAGGTTAAGTGCACATGAAGAAAACACCCCAACCCAGTGCTGCCCATGCCCACAAGTCCAATATTAACCCATTAACTCATATATCCAACACCAGTTCACAAAGTCCTCCTCCACCTCACAAAGCAGATGCAATGATGCCGACTGCAGGAGGAAAGCTGAGTCAGTGAATGTGTAAGCATCTCAGTGCTGGCAGAGGTCTCCACACAGCTGCTCCAGCACCCAGGGCTGCATCAGGGTAGGTCTATGTGGCTTCTCGTCAGGGATGTCTTGCAGGCAGTGAGCCTGGCCAGCTGAAGCAGGGAACTGACTAAGGCAGCTGCACCCTGGTCTGACCTTCAGAAACAAGAGACCCGAGAACTAGAATGGCGAGGCCATATATCCAACACCAGTTCCCAAAGTCCTCCTCCATCTCACAAAACAGACGCAATGTTCACAGGGTCGCTGCTATCAGTCAGAACCAACTCCGTGTCACCTAGCAACGGCATGTGGGTGAAGAGGGACTGGATCAGAAGGTTGCTAGAAAGAGTGGCTTATATTTCAGCTGGGAAAGTGGGCAGGCAGAGCATGTGAGGAACGCGGAATTTCTTTTTGAGTATCCAAATAAACCTGTGAAACCGACAACCCTTTGCTTGTGTGTGCCAGGATCCGAACAGTAGACGCTGACCATCACTCTTCCTTTGGTGTCCCTGCTCTCAGGGTCACTGCAGGCTCAAAGGTGGAAAACTCTTCAAAAATTCTAGTCGTGATACGATCCTTTTCCTATGATGATAGGAGAGGGACGCCCCGTGTGGTTAGGCTGTTGCTGGTGGCCTGGAGATGCGGCGATGGCCTGGTCTTTGGGGCCGTATTCTGCCAAAGCTAGCGGCATTTCTGGAAGGCTGCTGCTGCTCACGCTGTCTTTGGTCTGCCACAGCCCTTTGCAGGCTGAAGAAACGGAAGAAGGCTCGGGATTTGTCCAGGCGACAACGTGGAAACTGCAGAGGACTAGCCCACCATTAGGAGGACACTTCCGGATTCAGCTTTCTGACACGGTGATAGCTGGTAAAGAGGCAGTTGGGGGGTGTGGGGTGTACGGTGTGTGTGTGTGTGTGTGTGTATGCAGTACTTCTCATTTGCATTTTTAAAGGAACATTCTCAAGTTAACAGCATCCCAACCATCTGATCAGATGGATGTGTAAATGGAGCGTCTTAGCTTCCTTGGGCGGCTGTACCGCCTGGCCGCACGTGGTGGCCTAAAACAACAGGTGCTTGTTTTTGGCAGTTAGGCGGGGCCACACGATCTGCACCAGGCTCCAGGGGAGAATCTGTTACGGACTCGCCCCGCTTCTGGCGATTACAGGTGTTCCATGGCTCCCGGCGACATTTTGCCATGTGTGCCTCAGTGGTCACATTACTTCTCCTTTCTGTCCCCAAGCTCCCGGACTCTTCCCCATGAGGGGATACAGAGTTTGTGGGAAAACTTCATGGTCTTTTCATTCCATTTTTTCCATGAACAATTTGAAGACCCTTGTAGGAGTTACGTGTTGGGTTGCTAACTGCAAGGTCAGCAGTTTGAAACCACCAGTCACTGGGAAGAAAGATGGGGTTGTCTACTCCAAGAGTTACAGTCTTGGAAACTCACAGGGGCAGTTCTATCCTGTCCTATAGGGTCTCATTGAGTTGGCATCGATGCAATGACAGTGAATTAAAAAAAATCATTTTATTGGGGGCTTGTACAACTCATCAAAATTTGTTTTAATTAAATGTGATAGCACATAAGGTCCACATAAATAATCCAGGGTAAACTTTCAAAATGCTTGACTAAATTGTTACATTTAAAATATATATATGTGTGTGTATGTGTGTATATATATATTGTTAGAATATAGTACACATATAATACAGTATGTATACATACATATATACCACACAAATATATCAGAATTGTTTGCCTTTTCAAATTTTTCATGCCTATGATTCAGTGACACTCATTGTTTAACATGGTCAAGCATCACCATTATCCATTTCCAAATATTTTCATCACCGTTAATAGGGGACACCCTTAGTGTCCCCTAAGCTGTATGTCTATCTTTTCCTCTCTTCCCTCCACCTGCCCCTAGTAACTCCTAATGAACTTTTGTCTCTATACATTTGCCAGCCCTAGGTATTTCAAATAAATGGAACTATTCCATATTTGTCCCTTTTTAAATCACACTTTTTCCCTACAAAGTAATGTGCATTCTCACTTATAAGAAATACTCATAGGTCCTGGGGATCCAAAGATGAAGAACCTACCTTCTGAGGCTCTCCCATGTAGTCCGATGTTGACACTTTCCCAGATGGGAATTTTGGTATTTCATTACATACTCTTCTCTCTCGAACTCCATCAGCCAAGCTTAATGGTAGATATTGCCCTTCAGAATTATACTCAATGATGATGCTGTAGCCTAGGATTTCAGTGGCTATAAAAACAAACAAAAACAAAGCTTGCTGTCACCGAGTCAGTGTTGACTCCTAGTGACCCCTTGTCAGTTTCCCAGACTGTAACGATTTACATGAGTAGAAAGCCCACCACAGCGGGCCGGTGGTTTTGAATTGTTGACCATGGGGATCGCAGCCCAATGGGCAAACCACTACACCACCC